AAAATCTTGTTTTCGTTTTTTTTTCCTTGTTTTTTTGCAGTTTCCGATTTATTATTTTTAATTTTTTTTTTTACATAAAAAAATATGCGATTTGAAAAAAGAAAAGAAAAAGGAGGTTGTAGGGTTTGAAACAACCCCATTAAAAAAAAAAAAAAAAATTACATTTTATTTCGCCCAGGAAAAATCCATGAAAATCATGGCCACGGCCATTGGACCCCGCGGCCGCGGCCGCGGGTGATACATAGGGTATAGGTTACATTCACAATTTAGCCTCCCAACCTTAAAGGTAGTGGGTGCCACTGGGTGACTAAGAGAAAAGAACTAAAAAGAAAAGAAACACATCGCGGTGTCCATCCGCCGTCCAGGGCAAAGCCCTGGGCAGTCCATGGCCCGCCTTTTGGGAACACTCGAGTCTATTAATGGGAGTTCGGACGGATCTTGCAAGAATGCTGTGGCACAATTACAGAAATCACAGCAGGTTGTGATGAAAAGCGAAAACCAGCGCAGGCAGGTGCCACAGTTCCAGGTTGGAAACCGAGCTTGCGCCTGGGTTAGTTCATCGGAATTCACACTGGAAGAGACTCGAGCCTTCACCTTCACTTCACCTTCACACTTACCCAGTTTTCCATGCATCCAAGCCGTCACATTTTCGTCAAAGCGATCCGATACATCTTTCCGACTGTCAATGCTACCACCCTTCAAGTTAAACCACCAGTACATCCGAAAAACTTGCAAAAAGCAGATTGAACCTCTCCTAAACACTTGCAAGTTCCAAGGTCATGGGCCGCCGATAAAATGAATCGGCAATCCATGGCCTCCTATTTTTCAGGAGAGGCTCAATCTGCTTTTTCAGATGTGCTGGTTGCTGGTGGTTTAATGAGCCGAAATGTGTATGTTAACTTCCATCATGGAGCACAGGTATATGCACAATGATTTCGGCTTATATGTTAACTTCCATCATGGAGCACAGGTATATATGCCTGTACCCAAGCCAACAGGCAGACGGAGACCCCACCGAAGCACCGAAGCCACACTTGCAGTAACCGGCCCACTTCCGACATCACGTGGATCCAAGTGAAACCGGTGGCACAGAAGGGACGAGCGAGTTAATTAGTCTGCACCTGTGGATCCCGACTGGTTAGAGGACGTAAGAGAGCTCTCAAAGAGAAGCAACGACAAAAATAAGGGTATCTCGAAGGGCTTTGGAACCTAAAGGAGTGGGAATGCAAGGCCCCAGGCCACACACAGGCAGGATGAACCGGTAGGCACTGGGTTTCAGGTCCTATGCGCCCAACTGGCTGGGCTGGTAGGTAGTCCCCACCGACTAGATGGGACCCCTGCCTTGAAAGTTGAAACTAAACTCAAAAGCCGGGGCATGGGCGGATCATTCGGCGTTTTACTGTCTGGCTGGCTGCACTGGCACTGTACACAGTGCATGAGCAGCAGGCTGTGTAACCGCGCAAGGAGAAAAGGTGCAGGCAATGGCACTGTGTGGAAGGTGGGTGCCCTATCTCGGTAGGTGCCATGCAGAGGGAGAAGGGTGGTGATATGTAGGACAGGTCCTGGCGGTGAGATAGGAGATAGGTCATGGGAGGTCGCCGGATACGTATCTTTATCTGGTGGTCCGCAAGTAAAGTATATAAGAAAAACCGGCGACCTCCCATGACCGTATGCAAGAAGAGATCCTGCCTGGTCAGATTCTTCAGCAATCATTCGCAGTTTGGCACAGGCGGAATGGAGCTCAGCTGCTAGCTGGATGGGTATGGTACGCCATCCAATTTCGGACCTCGACACCCAGCTGCTTATGGTGTTTTACAAAATCCTTCAAGAGCATCATTCCAAGTGAAAGCGCTCGTGGCACCAATCACAATCATCCAAACCGATCACGAGCTACCGAGGCCGGACAGCAAGCTACTTCCTCTTTCGGTGCTACTCTTCATCTTGCAGTGGTTGATACCAAATCCACAGTGGTTGATGTCAAATCCACCAGCAAATGCGTCCCAAAGTGCACGGCCAATATTATCCACCATGTGCCGTGCTTGCTCAAAGAACGTTCCTCGAGTAAAAATGTACAAATCAATGAAATCATCACATGCAATTTTTTTTTGCAGCGAAATCGAATGGAAATATACCAGGAGGCTGGAGCAACAAAAAGGCGGTTGACCTTTTTTTTTTTTTTTTTTGGGAGCAAAAAGAGGACTGCCATGTGCATCTTACGGATTCCATTAGATTCCATTCGCTGTGATTGTGCTGGAGTTTAACTATTCAGTAGAAAAAGGGAAAAAAAAAAAAAAAAAAAAAGTTTACCTATTCAGTCTGAGACTCTGAGGGGATTAGCAGTCCAGAATGACTCTGAGCTTTCTGCACAAGAACTTTTAGAAAGTACTAAGAACGGATGAAGCACGGTGGGCATGAATGTTTCCATCTTCCTGGCCAGGTTCGTGCTTTTGAGTCTGCTGTGCAGGGAACAGTTAGCAACACCACAACTGCAAATTAAACCTGCACAGAATGACTCTGAGCTGCC